AAAGGCCAAGGATTGGGCCTGGAATCACTAGCTATGGATTCAGAGCCTGGCACTGAAACACTTGTGGTTCTGTAGGGTCATAAATATATCAGTTCAATTGAAGTCGACGGATCGTCTCATCTCTGTGCTTAACCAGGCTAGCAGAAAAAAAATAATCTGAGTTTTATACTTTAAGGTAGCAATAGTATTAACTCATGTCAGTGTTTAGAGCTTGGTTAACTGGAATGTTTGTGTTATTTTAGCAAATTTGAATGTGATTGTTTATAATGCAGTAATGTTTTAAAGACTTGGTCATGGAACAAGATCATGCTGTGCTAAGAGTTTGCACAGCATGTCTTTACTCCAAGGAACGTTCAGTCTAGGCATAAGATGAGGGAAACTGATGGATATAGGCAGCATTCTGACATAATGCTACAGCTTTGGTTAGGAGGACAAACAAAATTCCTGATCTCTTTCACATCCAGATAGATTGTTATGTATATCCCTGACATACGATTTTGACTTAAAAATGCCTGTGTATTATGTGTACCGTGTGCATATGATGTTACTGGAATACTTGAGTTGTATTGACAATGCAAACTGAACGCAGAAAATGTAGTCACCACCTTGCTACATCATGTGTACTTTATTGCCTTGTTAGATAAAGCTGCCCCTTGGCAGCCTTTCCCGTCATCTTTGTTTTATTAATGAGTAGTTTTGCCTTGCATTTTGAAACAGGCCATTCCTCTTCTGGCAGACCATGCTTTCTGGGGATGCTAATGCTGGTTGTCTATGAGATAAGTGATGACTCTCAACGTTGGGAAAGATGTGTAAGTAATTTATGAATTAAAGCCTTTTATAAGCTGTTGAACAAACACATCTGACGGCACTGGAATGAGATTATCCAGTTACATTTTTTTAAAAGAAATTATTTTCTTTTACTTGCATTTATGGAAGTAGTGCAGCCCAGGGTCTCTGTCACCACAAAATGGTGGCAAAAGGGAAATTCTGTTGGGTTGTTTCTGATCTTGTCTTCTGTTTAACCCTTTCAGGGTTCAGAGCTTCTATTTCATTTTGATAGTGGACATGCTGGTGAAGTGGAAAAATCTTTTGTGTGCTTCAGTGTAGCAAGTCTGTAGTTATTAGACACTTCACTGGGATGTTTGTTATTCCTCTGGTTCTGAGGAAAAGATTAGACTGTGTGTGAAATATAGTTCATTTTGACGTTACTGGACAAACACCTATTGACTTCAGTAGGTCCAAGTCATTGCTCTGTCTGTATACTTGCTTTAGAATTTCATTTATGATAATGAAATTTGGTTATTTTCAAAGAAAATACATAAACTTTGCCTAACTAGTATAGCATTTTGTATTTTTACTTGTGAAATTAATCAGAATGATTAAAGCAAAGGCAAGACTGGAGGCAGTGTAGCCAAAATCTAACTCGGCTTGGGGGATACCTCTGTCCTTTAGTTTTGAAGAGACTCTTGGAAAATAAAAGCTTGGAAATGTTGCTGCCTAAATTAGTCAGCTTTGTTGGGGAGTTTTTCAAAGACACATAATCCCTGCCAAAATCAATCTGCTGGATAGCTTATAGTAAACAGGTAGATTGGAGTCATCTTGTAAATGACTTCATGTATGTAGTCCAAGAATTGCAGTACAAAAGGGTTTCATTTTCTCTGATTTTTTTTTTTTTCACTTGGCTTAGTAACAAGATGAGGCAGAGTAAGAAAACAAATGTATGACTTTATTGGAAACTTGATAGTGTTTGATTTTTATGCCCTTTAACACAATTACTATGTTAAGGGTTGGCTGGCAGAACAAATGGAAGGAATATGTGTATTGTCAATATTTTAAATTATTTTCTTCCTATCCCCTTTTTAGGGTAAAATTTTATTTAAAGTGTATTTTGTGTAGTTCCTATTTTTACTCTAAAAAAGAAATTTAAATATCAGTCTGATAAATAAGATTATGAATTTATTTTGATGCCATACAACCACAAGGGTGTTGCTTGTGTTCTTAACAGCTCTTGGGAAAGCATTTCCCTTCACTTCCAGTGCACCTGTCAGTCTTGCACAGTCAAATCCGTGAGATCTGAATGCTGCAGTGCTGCTCGTTTAGGATGTCTGTGTGAAAGTTAGGGGAATTATAGCCTGAGATCTTTATTGCTCGTACCCATTTCTCAATAGTGCACTGGACTGAATGACAGGGTCTGTTGGAAGAGTAATATTTTGATTCAGATTTCATAGCTTAGCCTCATCAAGATGCTATTGTACATCCAATGGATTTTAATGGGAAATGAGTCTTTTTCTCAGTTCTCTGTTTATTCTTGAGTTTCATATTTTTCTCTGCTCACTGTTTTTACCATTGATACTTCTTCACTTTCCTCTTGTGCTGTTGAAGTCTTTCACTTGTGTTGATCTTCCATCTCAAACCTCCAGATTTCTCTCTTGTCTACGCCATTTGTTTCCACGCTGCCTTTTCCTTGTGACATACTAAATTATTCTCCTCTGTAAAAGTTGAGACATACAGTGTCTGTCTGCTACAGAGCTCCTTTCTTCTGCTGCCAATATATCTCATTGAAATGAGTTGTTGATTCTTACTCTGTTGTGTCATTTCACCCGTTACTTGTTCTCTCTCTGAAGAACATTCCTATTCATGTTGGAGATCATCTTTCTTTACTTTGGTGTTCATGCCAGGACCATGATCAAACTTATGTCTTCCTTGCCTCAGCTCTCTGAGAAGTTCAGAGCAGCCCTGTCCTTTCTCCTTTATTTTGTTGTGGCCACTGTGACTCCCTATTGTAGCCTTAGCTAATTTGTCACGTTCTCTGTTACAGGGAAAGCCTCTGCAAAGTCTGGAAGAGTAGTTAAAAGTAGTTGCAGTAGTTGATAATAGCAAACTTCTGGCAGGGTAGTGTTGATTTGTGGCTCTCTGAGATGTGAGAAAGGTAGAAAAAGTAAGAGCGGAGATGACATGGTATGTATGGAAACCTCTGTGCTTGGATGGTGTGATTTACCAGTGTACACTCCACAAGGTACAGTGTGCAGTAGGCGATGACTTCTTTTGCAAGATCATCCTTGTAATATGAGTGACTGTTTCCAGAAAAAGACACTTTTGAATGGAAATATCCCAAGGCTTAACCACTTAAGTATCTTGTGTGCTTGTGGATGTTGAGTTCTGTGTGTTTCAACACTCTTGGAAAATCAAAGCATTCTTGTCCATATGTAGTAAGGAAGTAGGACAGACCTGATCTTTTTCTTTTATGATGGCCAATGCTAGGCCTTCACAGATTATGCAGTTGCCCGGGACCTAGCAAAACAGCCCTGTGGGTGTCCTGAGGTGTCCTCAGGGCTCCTTCCTATCCAGCTTTGGACCGGACTCACTCTCCACTCTCTCCGTTCCACTGCTCAGAGAGGTCTGCAGTGCCAACACGGCACCACCTCTCCCTACTTCTCACTGAAAAATGCTACATGAAGCGTCCAGCACAAGGCAGAGGATCAGGCAGATTCCCTGTTGCTGTTGGTAAAGGAGTAAGGAGGTGACACACTTTCCCCACCCGTGTCTTTCACCACTCACTCTCCCCCTTCTTCCCCTATCCTATTAGCCCACATTTTCTTCCTGCCCAGCCCTCCGGTGCTGCCTAATCTCATTTACAGGGGCTGCTGCCAGATCTGCTGGCAGCTGCAGTTT